AATATACTTCTCTATTGGTAAGAAAACATGCACCACAGCTCCAGAACCAGCTTCAGAAAAAACTAGCTTATCTCAGATAGAATTGAAGGGAAGGAAAACAGAAACGCATAGTCAAACAAGACAAAGCAAGGAAACGGAGGTGGTTATCCCAAAATATCTTTATAAAGAGGTGGAGCAACGCTACTGTAAGCGTGTCAAGGGTATCGTTCCAGGACCACATGCTGGCAGCATATGAAGGCGCGGTATTCGCAACCAGGTAAAGCACAGTTGCTGTGGCCATCTCCATCTCCTTATAAATACGTAGTTGACATAGTTTTGATGCGCATATGTAGGAACATGGGTAGACGGAAAGAAGTGTTGAAAAAGAAGTCCGCTACCGTATCCGGTGCATGTCGGCCGCGTTGCGCCGCGTCGCGTGCCAACTTCACGTTTATCAAGGTCAGTGCCGCTGAACCGCGTATTGCTGCCACGCTGGGTCCTGTCGATCTTCTTCGATTCTCTTTGAGTTCCTAGGCTTAATATCCATCGAACTCTTTTCGTTGAACAGAAGTAAAGGGAAGCAATGCTGTTTCGGCATTTCGGTTTGCCTCGCTTCTAATTTCTGCGTTTCAGTCGTTTAGGAGCTTCTTGCTAAATGGGTCCATTTGTTCAATTTTTTATGCCGCTGTCATCCTTGCTTTTGCAGAATTTGCACTCGGAAGCTAAAGGTTCATAGTTCAGGCTTATATCTGTTCTTTTTTCCGCAGATCTGCTGTTAGAAAGTTCTCTCGCATTCAAATACATTTAGAATCTATTAGCCCGAGCATTTTACGTAATGTGATGTTGCTTCTAGACGTGCAGCTATACATAATCCCAAAAAAAAAATCTATTGTAACCCATTTTTTTGCTTTGTTCACTTTAGCAGATTAAGCATACATGTCTTGTCCTTTCTCGGGCTGTCACATTTAATTTCTTCGTTATCATTATAGATCTACGCAATCCATTACACACTTTTTTCACACCTGTTAGCTTTTTTCACAGTAAGTGAAAAAAAACCTGTTTATAGCAATCAAACGTCATTATGGCATGTTGCAGTCAATCGGATTTTTTTTTCAAGTCGATGAAACAAAGTACTGCGTTGTCTATTGGGATTTCATTACTTAATGCTACAGCTGTCGATAGCGGATGTAGTTCTAAAATGAATGGATAGTATATTCGA